AGATAGATAGATAGATAGATAGATAGATAGATAGATAGATAGATAGACAGACAGACAGATAGATAGATAGATCTAGATAAATGATAATGATAGACAATAGAGATGGAGAGATAAAGAGATGGAGATACGAATAGATGCAGATAGATAGATAGATAGATAGATAGATAGATAGATATAGATAGATAGAGATAGATAGATAGAGATAGATAGATAGATAGATAGATAGATAGATAGATAGATAGATAGATGATAGATAGATAGATAGATAGATAGATAGATAGATAGATAGATAGATAGATAGATATAGATGGTAGATAGATAGATAGGTAGGTAGGTAGGTAGATATAGATGGTAGATAGATAGATAGATAGATAGATAGATAGATAGATAGATAGATAGATAGATAGATATAGATAGATAGAATGGATAGATATAATAGATGACAGAAGATAGAAGATAGATAGGCAGATAGATGAAAGACAGACAGACAGAAAGATATCCTTTATTGTCATTAAAGTGGGCACTCTGGCACACATTAAAAATGAAATTCTATTGCGTGCTCTCAAAAGTGCACACATACATTAACAAACATTAACGGAGAGGCAGTTTCTGTAAGCAATATGCTATAGACATTCATATGTAGTGTATATACCTACACCCTAACATATAAATACATATAAATATTCATCACTGTCCCTTTTCGAATACATAGCAGAAAGAAGAAACCTGAGAGTTCAGAAGGTTGATACTATATGGAACAAAACTGGGACTGAATCTAGTGGTTCTGCTTCGGATACCACGAAGCCCCCTCCTCCCAGAAGGTAACCAAGGAAAGCAGGTCATGGAGAGGATGTGTAAGGAAGCCAGATCCACTTAACAACCGTATTACTAACTTAACAGCCACCGTGATTCATTTAACAACCATGCCAAGAAAAGGCCGTAAGCTCACTTTAAAAACCGTCTCGCTTAGCCACGGAAACTTTGGAGTCAATTGCGGTCATAAGCCGAGGACTTCCTGTAGCTGCTGGGTTCATGAATCACTTCCATTTTTTGTCTTGCGTGCCCCACATTCAAAAGAGGGGAGATGTTTTCATCAGAAGGACAAACCGCTTTCCTGTTTCGCACGACTGCAGCACAAGAACCTGATAGCCCATTATCCCCACTTCGGCCTGACGTCTTGTTAACAGAGCATCTCCGTCACCGGAGCCTTTGTCAAGGCATGAATAAGCCATGCGCCGAGAGGATCTTCTTCAGTCCCAAGTTCGATTGCTGACATACCGCCTGTCTGCGGCTAGATTTGCTCTGGGAAGAGATTCCTCTCCAAGCACCTGAGCTCCCCTCCAGCAGTGGCTTTCCAGGATTTCTGCCTTTAAAAAAAAAAAACTTTATTAATTTTCTATTAGTTACATTTCTTACTGCTTAATAAGCATCGTGTTTCTGTGTATTTAACTTGCTTAACAATACAGATTCCATTTTTGCTCTCCATCCCTTTTTTCCAGCCACTTGTAGAATAAATTCCATGTTTGATAATATTCTGTGCCTTCCTTCCTTCTGTTTGATTTTCAGTGTAAATCTATCCATTTCTGCACAATCTAATATCTTCTTAATTATGTCTTCGTCTTGCGGTGTTTCTTCATTTTTCCAGCATAGTGCGAAGATAACCCTCGCTGCTGTTAAGACATGTAATACTGAATACATACTTTTCTTATCAAATTTTTCTGATATCATCCCTAATAAAAATAGCTCAGATTTAAAATCTATATGGTTCCCTATTATCTTTTCTAGCCATCTGTGTATTTTTGCCACATTTTTTTTGTTTTAGCTCAAGTCCACCACGTGTAATAAAATGTGCCCAGTTTTTTTTTATTACATTTCCAACATTTGCTAGACATATTTTCAAACATTTTAGCTAACCTAAGGTAAAAGTAAAGGTTCTCCTCACACATGAACATGCTAGTTTCCAGCACTTCCAGTCAGGGGTGGGATTCAAATTTTTTAACAACTGGTTCTGTGGGCATGGCTTAGTTGGTGGGCATAGCTTGGTAGTCATATGACTGGCTGGGCGTGGCCATCTCAACATCACTCACATCAAGGCACACATCTCCTCACCTGGCTCTCATGACTGTGGGGATGCTGCAACAGTCGTAAGCGTGAAAAACAGTCATAAGTCACTTTTTTCAGTGCCATTGTAACTTTGAATGGTCACTCCACACAAGCAAAGTACCAGCAAAGGAGGGGAAAAAAAACTCCAGAGGAGTTCCTGAGACAGGAAGTCTAGTCCTGCCAAGAATGTAATAAGGGTTAACGGAGAGGCAGTTTCTGTAAGCAACACCAGAATGTTTCCTTCCTGCCTTCCTTACAGGATTAGCCCTGTAATTTCTTCTAACAACCGGTTCTCCGAACTGCTTAGAATGTTAACAACCAGTTCTAGCGAATGGGTGCGAACCGGTAGAATCCCACCCCTGGGGCTGGGGCTCATCTCCGTGACAAAGCCAAAGAGCCAGCGCTGTCCAAAGACATCTCCGTGGTCATGTGGCTGGCACGACTAAAGTTGTAAAATGTGGCAAAACTCACTTAAACTATGTTTTATTTAGCAACATAAATGTTGAGCTCCATTGTGGTTGTAACTTGAGGACTTCCTATATCGCCCCAGGCAATTTGAATGTGATAAATGGGAGAGGAAAAAAGAGCTCACCTATAACATTGTCAGCTTTGGAAGCCGTATAAGCACCGGAAGCTTCCACGCTACCACATTCTTGAGCCTGAGAAGATGGGAGGGGGGGACTGCATGGAGCGCATGTGGTTAGACATAATAGCATTCTTCTTTAGAGTCAAGGTCATGTTGTTCCTGCACCTGGCTGAGGAGGAGTAGAGGGGATGTCTCAAGTTGGGACAGATGGTGATCGGGGAATGTGACGGAATGATGGGGGCAGGGGGTGGATTTGTCCTATTTTACTTATTGGAGGGAAACCCGGAACTTTCAGATTCGGGATTTCCCAGATGTGCCAGTTTACTACTCTCTAATAAAAGGGAACTTTGTCTGGTTCGATTTTTATTGGGAATTTTACCTGAAGGCGACAATAGAGAATTGACATACTTCATTATTAATGTTTAAACTGCAGCTAGAATTGTATTTGCTGTGGAGGTCTCAGAAAGCTGGTGGTGGGCATGGCAGCCCAGAATGGAGGCATAAACTGGGAAGTCACCCTCGCACAGGAGTGGAATGCTACTGGTTCGGACTGGTTCAGCAGAACTGGTAGTAAAAAAAAAAAAAGAGGCTCCAACGATCATCTGAGAGGATAAAGAGAAAAGCGCAGGATCGGCCCTCTCACTTTTCTCTTTTTGCGCTTTTCTCTTCTTTTATCCTCTCAGTTGATTGACACTGCAGGCCTCAGCTCGTGTGGGGAAAGCTGCGCATCATCAATCCAATCAATCAATCCATCAATGCCATCAACCCATGGAACAGAAGTTGCCTTCGGAAGTTGTGGGAGCTTCATCATCACTGGAGGTTTTCAAAAAGAGACTGGACTGCCCTCTGTCAGAAATGGTGTAGGGTCTAGATGACCTCCAAGGTCCCTCCCAACTCTGTTCATCCGTTAATCTAAGAAAGGGAAACCAGATGGACACATCTTCCCCCTTCTCTTAACGGTAGAACTTCCAGTTCAGAAGTTCCCGCACCAAAACAAACAAACAAACCAGTAATGCTTTGTATGACACATAACTAACTACGTTTGGATGCGGAGCTTAGGACTGAAAATGGCTGCCTCTCTTACAGCTTCGTTCTCTCTCTTCTCGTGTCAGCCCGAAAGACCCCCTTGCCTGCCAGGTTGCTTCGATTTGATTAAATATGGAAGGCCATCATTAATTCATATTCCCTTCCCTCCCCCTTCCTGAGTAATCTGAGCCAGCCTAGGCGGCCAAAGGCCCATCTTGCAGAAACCTGATAAAGGAAGAAATCACCTGGAACATGAGAGGGGAAGGGAGGGAGGGAGGGAGGGAGGGAGGGAAGGCAGCAGGGCAGAGCAGTTAGGTCCTCTCTGGATCTGTTGCACAGTGTTGGCGTGAGCCTATAAATTGGGACAGCTGATTCTCTCAAGGCTTCAACTGTCAACCAACCAACCAACCAACCCACCCACCCTTCAGATCTCTCCTGCTACAAGGAAAAATGGCCACATTTGTTCCAGTAAGAAACTACTTTTTCCTCTACCTCTTTCTGTATTGCATTTCTTATCCATGTTTCTCCATCAGTGGAATGTGATCAAATGTTTCTGCCATTTGTCTTCTAGCTAGGTTATGTTACCTGTTTGCAACCTTCCCCCCTTTCCTTTAAAATGCACCCTGAGAGCCCTTCAAGATTTGGGGACCTGCGTATTCTTTTCTCGTGGCTAGGATCCAAGAATTTGGTCGATGCACGCAGACAAACAAATGTCCATTGAAATGTATAAATGTGTACCCAACCCTCCATTTGCATGGAAGTGCAAAATTGCAGGTGATAGGTCTAATGAACTTTGAAAATATTAAGTTTTTCACAATCCTAATATGGACAATGAATGAAAACCCTCCAACTTCAATTGGATGTTGTTCATTTTTTTAAAATCAAAGTTAGGAAGGCTGCAAGGGAAACTGGAAGGCACTTAGGAGAGGCTGTCGGAAAAATACAGATACAGATAATCAGAGTTGGAAAGGACCTTGTAGGTCATCTAGTCCAACCCCCCGCCCAAGTGGGAAACCCTACACCATTTCTGACAAATGGCGGTCCAATCTCTTCTTGAAAGTCTCAAATGATGGTGCTCCCACAACTTCCGAGGGCAAAGCTGTTCCATTGGTTGATTGTTCTCACTGTCAGAAAGTTTCTCCTTATTTCCAGGTTGAATCTCTCCTTGTTCAGTTTCCATCCATTATTCCTTGTCTGGCCTTCAGGAAAATAGCTTGATCCCTTCCTCCTCCCTGTGGCAGCCCCTCAAATATTGGAAGACTGCTATTGTGTCTCCCCTGGTCCTTCTCCTCACTAGACTAGCCAAGCCCAGTTCCTGCAACCGTTCGTTGTATGTTTTAGCCTCCGGTCCCCTAATCATCCTGGTTGCTCTTCTCTGCACTTTTTCTAGAGTCTCAACATCTTTTTTATAATGTGGTGACCAAAACTGGATGCAGTACTCTAGGTGTGGTCTTACTAAGGCTTTATAGAGTGGTATTAGTACTTCCCTTGTTCTTGACTGTATCCCTCTGTTAATACAACTTAGGATTGCATTGGCTTTTTGGGCTGCTGCTGCACACTGCTGGCTCCTATTTAGCTGGTTGTCCACTAAGATCCCTCTCACAGTTACTGCTATTGAGCCTGGTTTCACCCAGTCTATATGTGTATATGTAAAAAGACTTTGGAGCTTGGCTCAGAGCAAGGATCTTAGAATCATAGAGCTTGAAGGGGCCCCCAAGCTGTTCTAGTCCAACCCCCTGCTCAAGGCCATCCCGGACAAAACTTCTGCAACACAGCTGCTTTTCGTGGCTCTGGGTAGTGCAGCCTTCCCAATCCAGTTGGGACTGCAGCTCCTTGGATCCTCCAGAGTCTAGACAATGCCCTGTTGTTCTCCAAGGAGCTAACTTATTGGAGAAAGATTAAAGGGAGGGCGGTTTTGCAGACTCTCCCCCCCCCCCCAAGTGGTCTCCTGGTGCTGAGAATTAGGGAAAAGGCATGAATAAAAGATGCAACAACGTCCAGCTATGCTCTTTTGATTTTGAGTAGGTCCTTGGCTGCTCTAACTAGGGAGTTCATCTGGTTCCCGTCTGACTACAAACATAGCTAATTCTGCATTTCAAACTCACTATCATGCCCCTATTGGAGACTGACTCCGAGGGAGAGGAGGAACAGCCGACAGGGAGTGGAGGTGTGGCTCCGGAGGTTGTGGAGGAGGCTGGGGAAGGGCAGAGGCCGGCTGGGCAGTCAGAGGAGGACCCAGGCCCATCCCTTCTCCATCCTAGGGCACGCAGGCAGGAGAGGATAAGGGAGAGACGTGAATGGCATGGTCTGTGGAGGGGAGGAAAGTGCCTTGATCCTCTTCATGGGCTGCAGCTGTGAGAACTGGTTAAAAGGACGGACATGCATATGGGCCAGTGCTGGAAACAAAGCATGGAAATATCTCTAGTCTGTCATTCCTCTCTGAGTTTGGTCTCCTTCCCAGTGTGTGTTCCGATATCTGTGGACGTCTTCAAGCCCTTATCTTGCCTGGTTCCCTTAATTGCTTCAGTGTGGTTTGTGTTGTTTTTACTCTTTATAATTTATAGGCATTTTTATTTTAAATGGCATTTCCTCATTTTCGTAACTGCTCGTGGGGGAGTTTTTTGTCTCCAGTCAAGGATATTTGGAGCTTTG